GAGGAATTGTATAATTACATTAAAAAAAAAAAAATTCGTTGACGCCAACATTCGAAATTCGACACCTCTATATCTGTAAATTTTCTAGAAATACAGTTAGTCATGCTTCCTATTTGCTAAAGAAAAACTATGCGCATACTTATTTTAAGCAATTTTAAATTTACCGACACGTGCGTAAATACAGGCGGCAATCTAATAAGTCATCAACGAAATCTTCCAATTTTCAAATTAATTAATTCCAACAAACCGCCAATTGTTTCCCCTGCATGTAAATTCTTACGGTTTATCGAGTTACTCACCCTCAAAGTCTATGATAACGAAACTATACGACAACGGTGAGAAGTAATTAAATCTGAAGCCACATAATGTCATTTGGAAGATTGATAAACGAGCATTCACGATATTACCACGGAGAAATGCCAAATAATTAGGGCTTTAAATAGACACCTTAATGTTGAGGTCATATTGTTATTTTTGTGGAAGTCAATTCTATTTGATGGTATCATTCTAGGTTTAGTGTTTTTATAAAAAAACGTACGCGTGGTTGTCTAATAAAAATAGATGTAAATATTCGGGGTATTATTTTCAAATCTTACTGCAATGAACGCAAAAGTGCTGGAATATTCAATTTGAGCCTTTGTCGCAATGCGTCTACTAACTCTTCAGCATTTAGATTTCAAGTAGTTTGTGTCACTTAAGATTCTTGAAACAATGTTGCGCTAAAATCTTCATTGAAATACAATAAAAGTATAGCTGCGGATCGTTTCGGAAGTGGCCTTCATGGGAACTGTTGACATTATCACAATAAATGAACATATATAATATGTACATATGTATTCATATTGAAGTACTTATTCATATCTGCGTAGACAAGAACAGCCGCCACACCTCAACATCGACGTCGATTTTTTTAGTCTGTCGGCAGTACACGTCTATATAGAAATGTGCGTGGGCGCACAAGTGAGTGGTGCCAGCATTTTTTGGTACATTTATTATCATTTCTTATTCTTATTATTTCGTCGTTTGTAAATTTGTTTCGCTTCCTGTTTATAATGGAGTTTTTTAATTGTGTGCTTATCATATCTGGTTGTTGTTAACGTGTGGCCTACACCTTGAATGCAGAATTTTGATAAGAAGCCAATTAAGTTTAATTTCAGTCACTTAATTGTAAACTGGACCTTTTTTTTTTTGGTAGAAGTTAAATGTGGAGCTTTTTGGCGAAGTCAACGGTATAAAATGTGCGCCCAACTTTGCCGGTGCGTCATTCGCATTTTCAAGATGAAGGTGTGAATCATCGTTATTGTTATGTGGAAGTCTTGAAATATATGTACATATACAAATATTTTACCAAATTTGCTTCGATGTACAAATATGAACGCGATTGCTCAGTCGGGGGTGCTTGCTACGCTATCTAATGAAAAAATGTTTCAGGCGAAATTGGGACGCAAAAAAATAAATTTGTTGAAATGAGAAAATATTTAGAAAAATCTTATAAATTATAAATCTTTATTTGTCCTTAAAATGTCCCAAGAAATCATTCTATTTGTTTGGTCATAAGCTTGAAGAAAACTGATTTGGTCTACCTGATTACAATTACTTGAAATATATGAGTTGCTTTGATCCTTTGCTCTTACCGTGTGATGAAACCACAATGAAAGTTAAGCTTTTTACATATTGCATAATTCATAATTTTGATTTGAGACAACAAAAATAAAAAGCTGTTTTATTACACAGTTAGATAAACTTTTGTCAGCATCTCGACAAAAATTTTGACTATAGTAGAACTCAAAAGTTGAAATAGTAACCTTAATGATTCTGCGTTAAAGGAACTGGCATGCGAAAATGCATAAAATAAGATTCAAATTTTTAAAATGAATACTATTCAACTAAATATTAACATTCTCTTTACTACTTCTTTTGAAACAAAAACAATTAATTGCACACGAAACATTCAAAGAAACTATGTGCCCCAACACTTATGTGCATTATGTACATTCTCATAAAATAAATTGTATTCTTTTAAAGGTTTTCATTCTAAGCGAAATTTCTCAAAAATATTGCGAAGTATCTTATTTTAATTTTTAATTTATTTTAATTTCCGAAAATTTATTAACCTCCTACTACTTTTAATATCAAGAACTTTAGACCTATGTATGTAATATTGTATAAATTTTGGCTTAAATCCCAGATAAAACTTTATCAGATCGTAACCAAGTGCAATTTATATGTGTGCCCGGTCACAAAGATATGGTCGGGAATGAACTGGCTGATGAGCTCACCCGCTTCACAGCATCCACCACATGGGCCTAGCTTCTTGTGAGAGTTGATGGTTACGCGACACGGTCATAGTTATGTAGGCGCAGAATAGAGGTTCTTGAATCTATGTTTCCAAATAGAAAACAATGTATTGGAATTTATCAATTTGCTAATTGAGTCGCTGTGACTTAGGAGAGGGCGCAATGGATCTTAGGTGGCGCCGCAATCCTCATTTATTAAAGTTTTTAATAAATTCAATTCTCAACCGATATTTAATGTGGGTTGATTCTTATCTTAGTAATAGGTCTAACAAGTTATATTTAACGATACTTTTTCCTATTTTAATTAATGTCTCTTTAGGCGTTCCTCAAGATAGACATCTTAGTCCAATGCTTTCCTTGTTATTTATTAATGATATTCATATGTATCATACATTATTAAGTATTCAAGAGTTTTATTATAGTTTGTCAAAAAAGTCTTGCGGTATTTTCGCTAGTTGGCGCTGAGAGCGCGTAGTTCTAATTTTATTCGTCGCATCGCTAACACGTGTTTGATTGATTGTCGTTGCAAACAGGGAGCAAAATAAAGAGAAAATACGGCATATATTACAGTACTACTACGATAAAGGCAAAAATGCGTCTCAAGCCGCCAATAAAATTTGTGCAGTTTATGGACCCGATACAGTTTCCATTTCCACCGCACAACGATGGTTTCTTCGTTTTCATTCTGGTGTAGAGGTGCCCGAGGATGCGCCACGCTCCGGAAGGCCTGTCGTCGAAAATTGCGATAAAATCGCTGAATTGGTCGAAAGAGACCGGCAGAGTAGCAGCCGTAGCATCGGTCTAGAGCTGGGCATGAGTTGTATTTTTTTTTTTTATGAACAAGTGAAAATTCAATAAAAATAATGCACGACTTTTTTGACAACCTATTGTATGCCGATGATGTAAAACTTTTCAAATCATATGCTTTAAATAGTGAAAGATGTCAGTTTCGAACAGACTTAAACAAGTTAGTTTCTTGGTATGTTCAAAATGATATGCCATTGCATATTAAAAGATGTAAAACGATGTGTTTTTTCCGTAGTCCTTTAGATCCTACTTCATACGTAAGTCAAAACTTTAGTTTGGAGCAAGTATGCAGTTTTGTTGATCTGGGAGTAACTATGGACCCCAAACTCAATTTTAAACTTCATGCTTCTTCCATGGTTTTTGAAGCTAATGGCGCTCTTAGTTTTGTTAAAAGTTGCTCTAAAGAATCAAAAGATTCGTTTATTACGAATTCCTTTTTACATCTTTGGTGAGGCTTACATATTATATATGGGAGTATGCTTCTATGACAGAATCGTAGTTGTCAAGTCCATTCGGAACAGTTAAAGTCCATTTAGAAACAATTTTTACCTTTTGCTTTAAATCAATTACATTGACATTCCAGGTTAAATTTTTCCCATATATACTAATCTATGATCTATACAAATCGTTTAAAACTTATAAATCTACTTTCACTGATATAATATTTCTTGTAAAACTTATGAATGAGTCTGTCTGTAGTCCATTCCAAATGTCTAATACTAATTCGTGCGCTCAACCTCTACTTTTAAACTTTTCTGGAACAAATTGTTAAACAAGTTGTGTTAAACGAACCATTTCTTCGTATGTGTCACGATTTCAATTCTCACTTTAGCACATTTGATCTATCTTGTAACAAACTCATTTGTTTATCATTAAAAAAAAACATATTTTATCTACTCCTAATAAGTAACATTTAAAAATAATAAGCTTACCCTAAACCAATTCTTAATTTTAGCTGTTGGAACTTTTGTTTCTGTAGCTAAGCAGCGTAAGGTCGCACCGTTTAAAAACTTTCTTGCCGTTCCAAAACACAAAAAAAAAAAAACAAGACAAACTTATGACACTGCTTTAAAATTATATCACCTCAGTTCATTGATACTGATCTATAAGATATATTTTTTAATCAAGAATGATCACTACATACACATTAAATATGTGTTAAGAACAAACTAAAGAAAGCCAAATCTGTTGAGACAAATAAAAGTTATTTTTATAGAACTCTTAAAAAAAATGCAATACACAACACGAATTTTGATTTGTCGAAATTTGCTAACTCGTATGTGCAGTTGTTGGATATTTTCAGCACAATTCTAGTTCAAGTTGTTTGAATTACGTAATCATTTTACGAACAGTTATTGTTACGTCTCATCTTTAGAATTTAGCAAAAACAATTTTTCAAATCTCTCTTGCTTCCAGTTTTTCAAATAGCATAGCAAAATTTCATATAAAAAATTTCTTTGCACAACTACTGCCTTCAGATTCGAGCTTATATAATCAAGCTTTAGTTGTGTGGCCGAAACACAAATTCAGCGATGATTTTTTGTGTATTCCACACAGGTAGATACATTTTATACGAGTACTACCACTACTGCTACAGCACATAGATGGGTATTGGTATTGCTGTACACACACACAAACGTAGGTGAGCAAAAGCACACACATTAAAATGTGGGGATATATAATTTTCAATTAGCGCTGCAATCAGGACTATTTGTAACGATCACTATGGAATTAAATGCATCGTGCCAAACGCCGAAGATATGATTTCATACGCAGCGCAGACCACGAAGCAAATAATTTACACTTTTATGTATGTACGCAGATATCATATATTATATACATATGTATATATCGCTATTTTTCGCTGTGCACTTTACGGCAGAGGCTAGGACTCACCTGTATCGCTCGGTGTGATATTACTAAGGCGATGCGTTAGATAACCGCGTAAGTTCGAGACTACGCGCTGTGGCGAATTCGGGCCACTGCCGATGGAGAAACTTCGCAGTTTGGAAAACAGTGCGGCCGATTCACCACTTGTGCCAGCAGCACCATCAGCTGCACTGCCTGCAGCGGTATTATGGGTACCCTCGTTCGACGCCACTGTCTTGCGGATTATAGCGAGCTGATAATTTGCTATTTACTCTTTATTTTTTCTTATATGATTTTTTTTAATATTATAGAATTTTGAACAAAGTATTATAAACTTATTATTTGTGTTGTGTTAATTTTAATTTTTCTCACGAAATTTACGTCCACACAAACATAAGCGACAGAAAGTTGCTTCAAACCATGAGCTCACACCGTTGCAATTGATAGCAATTATATATTTTTACTGGCTTTTACATCACCATTTCACATTCCTTTAGCAAAATAAAAATTTTTTTTTTCTCACTTAACCACTGCAGTTCACGTTAACAAAATTTCTTTCAAAATATTACACATACACTTTTTCATGAACACACAACAATTGTTGGTTTGATTGAAACACAGTTTGTTTCGGTAATTTATTTAATTCTTCAAATTGTATGCTTTTGTGAAAAAATCCTGCACACACACACTTGAAATGTAGGGAAAATTTGCTAAACCAGACGACCACCGTGCATCGTCCAGGCCAGAGCAAAGGTAACTTCTATCTGGCAGCGCTCGCCTAGCGCATACCCAACATGCCTATGTATACCTTGGCGCTTGTAGTGCCATTCAAGCTGGCATTCCAGTGCCTGCGTATGCTCCAAAAGCCAGCGCACCGACCTACCACCCACCCACAGCGTATCCAGTCGAGTCAGGCGACTTTCCAAGGAGCGCGTTGTATATTCACTCACAAGCGCGCAGGTATTTGTGGCATTTCCTGCACATTACTTGCTTGCTTGCGTGTGTGTGTTAAGTTCTGCCATCTAGCATATCGTTCAGGTTGTTCAGCGTTTCATTTGCGCTCACTTCAATGTATGTATTTTAAGCACTGGCTCGTTCGCTCTCTCTCTCTGCTTGCTGCGAGACATGCGCATCCTGGCGCTTAGCTTTTTTTTTATTGCTTTTACTCAGAAGATGGCTAGCGGTTGAGTGTGTGCGTCTGTGTATGGGAACTTACCATGCGTGCGTCCACCCAATTGGCTTGCTTTTGTGAGTGCACAGCCGTTTTTCCCATACACACATTACATGCGCCTGGTTGAGCACATTTGAATTGGCATAGATTGCTCAGGCTGAGCGCTGTTTTGTTGCTTACACGCTACTCATCCCGCAACAGTCGAGCATAGGTGTATATGTGTTTGTGTGTGTAAGTTGTTACATGACTTGCATGTATGTATATGGCTGGATGGCGCTGGTGTTGATTATATCGAGGTTACGTGTGTTGTTGCAGCCGTTAATGTGCTCATCAGTGGGTGAATCCTGCTTCCATTTCATACAATTCGATTCGGAGCGATCGAAACCGTCCGTCTCGATTTGATACATTTCCCTATTTGCGAATGTTAATTTATTCGCATATATGTATGTATATATTTATGAGGTTGTAGTTGTGCATGTAAACACATAAATATTATGACACACACATAGTAATGTCAATAAAAGGCACGTAATACTTGTTTATGAGCTTTTAACACTTTTTATAAATCTCCATTTTAATGACAGGAGCGCAAACGTAATGATTGCAAATCACCGTTTTTATTCTTTTTATAAATACTTCAATACATTTTGATGTGCTTTGCATTTAACACATGCATTCACTTCCCGTTGATTACATAAATGTATGTATCAGTAATTAAATAATTCCATGTTTGAAAAGATACTCACACTCCTACGCTCAAACGCACATCAGTTCGAAGGCACACGCAAGCTTGGCTTAGCCGCTTTGCTTTAACTGCTTACACATCTTTGCAATGAAGCACTTAGTTACACTTTCTTATCAGTATTTGATTATGATTAATACAAAAGCACACATTGAATGAACGACAACTCGAAAAAAGGTAAATATATGTACTAAGTACACGTAATCTATTGCGTTACACTTAGCTTTCTTCTTAATCTTTTCTTACATAATCTCCACACATACTCACCTCACATATTCATATACACATACATATACTATATACTCATATTATAAGTCATTCTTGGTATTTATTTTGTATAATTTTATTTGCGCTTTTCCACTCGCCCAGTGGACCGACGTGTCTTATCCCCTCGCTTGACCATGACTCGCTTGTGCTTGTGGATTTGCACAAATTGCACTACAAATGCCCCATAATTTGCCAATTCCGGTGTAATTTGTCACTTGAGTAGCGTTTGTGACAACATTTGTCATGATTAGATTTCCTTCTGGACTTTGTGATAAATGTTTGTGGCATTGTTGGCTATTGTGTTTTAACAATTAGGTATCAATTCTCAATTGTTTACTAATGTACTGATTTATGCTTGTGTGGCTTGCGTGTTTGAAGAATTTAGCTGCACTTAGTACCCTTTTAGCATTTCATATAGCTTCATAGAGAATTTATTAACATCATTTTGCAACTGATAGTATGATAGTTTAATTCACCTAACGGTTGTTTGCATCACCTAAGCTAGATGGATATAGGCTTATATACATATATAATATAAATTATCAGCATGACGAGACGAGTTTAATTCTGTGTGATTATCTGTATGTTCGTCTGGCTGTCCGGCTGTGCAGTTGATAAGTAAACATGAAGGTATATGGATCGAACACATGTTCGTTGGCACCCCAGAGGTGTTGTTATCGCAATGGATGGAATCCGGCCATTTCCACGCCCACAAAACTCCGTTAAGCAAATACATAAACATAAAGTGCCATAACTAAGGACTAAATTAATAGAAAGAACTTTAATTTAATACAATAGATAACAGTAGCTAGGGACATCTTCGGTCTAAATTTTTCATTTTTTAAATTATACATGGACCCGCCCCTAAATAGATTAGCGTTTAGAACTTGCAAACCGCTGAAGCTAAATCAACCAAACTTGCTAAGAAGAAATGCTTAAAGAAATTTGCATAAAGAAATTTTAATCTGTATGCACTGTGAAAATCAGTGAAAGAAGATAAAAGCGAGCGATAATTCACTCAATAAATGTGACACAAGTATGAAATTTCGGAACCAAAAAGGGTAGGAGTGGCTTTATAGGAGCATAACTAAAATTCGGACAATGAGACAACGAACTTTAGTTGATAAGCTATATAATTTGGCAAGTGAAGCTAAATAAATATTCCTATTAAACACTGACATGTCAAAATGCAGAATGGTCACGCCTACTTCCAATATAGCCAACTACTACATCTGATTATTTTACTTTAAAGTAAAGAAATTAAACACTAATGAAGTTATCAGCGAAAAATTTAGCACAAATAGTGTGAATATTCTTAGGAAATAATACACCAAAAATATTTTACAGTTTCGCAAGGACAAAGAAAAAGAATATGTCGACCAGTTCACATTTCGATTTTTTATCGAACATGTCGGTCAATTTGTGAGGTCTAGCGTTGAAGTTCGGGGAGAATATTTTTGTGGTGATAGCGTGCGCTTGTGCCAATAATTACTCAAGTCGGATGTAGACTTCTTATACCTAATATAAATATATTCCAACTTTTAGTTGGCTTTATACCGAAAGAACACTATCATGAATACAGAAAGAACATCTTTCTTATAACAATGTATTATACTCTTGCCTAAAATGGATGATATCACGGAAATTATTTTCCAGTCCCTGAACTGAGGGATCAGATCTCATCTTCCATGCCTCTGCTCTATATAGCAGGATGGGGATGATGAGTTACTTGTAGAGTTTGGTCGAGTGCGACGGCTGTTTGTTTGATGACAGGAGATGAGGGACTAGTTCAAGTAATTTCAGAGAGACAAAGGAGCAGACAGCAGATGAAACTAGCTAAATCGAGCGAGCTGAGCTGTGACAAGCTCGCTTAATTCTTAATTAAGATATTTTGTAAAATTCCATTTTCCATTTACTTGTAACAAGCTCTCAGGATTGTTAGTTATTTCAATCAGGTTAGAGAAAAAAGGAGAGAAAAAGATTTAAAAATGTGTAAGTGATGTAAGGTTCGCTGTTTTCAAAACATTTAAAATTTCTGCCATATAATTGTTCTTTCATTTTTTAAAAATAGTTGAAAGTTCGAAAATATAACGAATAACATTTTCCTTGATAATTTTAATACAATAGCTCCTTAGTAAATAATAGCTATATACTATTTATTATCGCAGCACATTATCTAAACGCTCTTACACTGCCGGAATTTTTTATGAAGAAGAAACTAAATACAATAATAATATTGTATGAGAGTTGAGGTTAGTTAGGAATTTATTGTATATCTTCTTTTTTATACATAGCGGGAAATTAGTGAAAAAATTCCCTGTTTGCTGATTTATTCATTATTATTTATTATTTATATCTGATTTCTTGGTTAATAATCATCACTTCCACGTAAACTTTTTGCCACATATCTCCAGCAAGTATGTCTGCCCAAAAACTCAATCGTTAATACATGTTTTTTATAATGCAAATTTGTTATTTAAATTTTATCTTTTTCAGAAACTAGCTTAAAATTGCCAAAAAAAAAAAAAAAAAAAAAAAATTATCTATGTATGTATAGATATGTGAATTGTTAGTATATGTTTGCGAATATCATATTTACATATGTACATAGTTATTTACGTATATGTGTATATAGAAAATATATGCACTTGAGCCCAGCATGAATGTCCATTTGCTTATCGCCACCGAAAATTGGATCGATATTCAAAGGACATTCATTCCAGTCTTGAGCATTCTGCAAGAGCACTCACAAAAGCGAAAATATTTTTATAAGTTTGTAGTTACGTATGCTCCACTTGGTCAGGTGGTGCTGTTCACATACATACGCACATACATACGCACATACATACGCACATACATAAACACACATGTGTGCTGTGAGCGCGGATAGGAGGGTGAGTTCACGTTTGGGAAAATGTGTGGCATGGCAAGTGGCCGACATTTGGCTAAGCGTTTTATACGTGTTTTTAGCCATTTAACTTGAAGTGAATAAAACAAGGTTATTTTCTTTTCACAAATTACAGGTCATAGCAATGAATTTCTGAAGTATACTTGTGAGCGTAAGAAATGCTAAAAATATGGTTCAAAGAAAACACTTAGATAACATGCAAGTAGAGCGAGATATTGTGGAAACGTAAACGTAGTTGTGCACATGTCCTCATCTGTGTATATTTGTGTGTATCTGCCACTATTTGCTAAGTCACTCAATTATTTTTGATTATAAGCTAAGAAAATTAGACACACTCAGTAATTTTCATAACAGAAAATTACGCATATAGTATACGAATCTTAATCTACAATTATTACCTACGTTTTTTAACAGTTTTGAAACAATTCTCATTTTTACCACATTTTTACGGAAAACTATGAACTATTAAAATCGATCGAATTGTTTTTTTTTTTTTTTTAGCAAAACCGTTTATAAATGACATATTGAGAAATACCAAATTGAGTTTCTTATTGATTATGATGCACTACACTATATCCCAAATCATTATATGTATAGTACATGATGGCAGAAACTGAAAATTTTGTAGATATGTACATATATCAGTTTCTGCCATCATATATTATACACATAAAGAAGTTGCAACCAACGGGTGGTCCATAAGTGGGCGACGCCACGCCCATTTTCAATTTTTAAAGAAAGCCTGGACGCAGCTTTTTTTTGATATTTCTTCCATAAAATCTAGTGTTTCTGACGTTTTTCGTTAGTCGGTTAACACACTTTTAGTGATTTTCAACATAACCTTTGTATGGGAGGTGGGCGTGGTTATTATCCGATTTCTTTGATTTTTGAGCTGTATTTGAAAATGCTTGAAATAAACGACTCTATAGAGTTTGGTTGATATAGCTGTAGCAGTTTCCGAGATATGTACAAAAAGCTTAGTAGCGGGCGGGGCCACGCCCACTTTTCCAAAAAATTATGGCCAAATATGCCCCTCCCTAATGCGATCCTTTTTGCCGAATTTCTTTATTTACGGCTTAGTTATGACACTTTATAGGTTTTCGGTTTTCGCCATTTTGTGGGCGTGGCAGTGGGCTGATTTTGCCCATCTTCGAACTTAGCCTTCTTATGGAGCCGAGAAATACGAGTACCAAGTTTCATCATGATATCTCAATTTTTACTCAAGTTACAGCTTGCACGGACGGGCGGACGGAACTAAGCCATAAATAAAGATATTAGAATGAAATTTGACACAAAGGATCGCATTAGAAAGGGGCTTATTTGGACGTAATTTTTTTGGAAAAGTGGGCGTGGCCCCGGCCCCTACTAACTTTTTTGTACATATCTCGGAAACTACTATAGCTATGTCAACCAAACTGTACAGAGTTGTTTCTTTTAGGCATTTCCATATACAGTTCAAAAATGGAAGAAGTCGGACAATAACCACGCCC